TATGCAATGAATAAGTTTTTTCTTTTCTCTTCTACCTCATCTATGACAGTGGTCAAAGATGCACTGCAATTAAGGTTGTCTTGGTGATGGAATCCGTAGCTGATGCTCTAGTTGAAAAGGTGAAAGCAAGAGTTGCAAAATTAAGAGTTGGGCCACCTGAGGACGATTGTGATATCACTCCTGTGGTCACAGAATCATCTGCCAATTTCATTGAAGGGCTGGTTATGGATGCCAAAGAGAAAGGAGCAACATTTTGCCAGCAGTATAAGAGAGAGGGTAACCTCATCTGGCCCTTGTTGTTAGATAATGTGAGGCCCGATATGAGGATTGCGTGGGAAGAGCCATTTGGGCCAATTTTGCCAGTGATAAGGATCAACTCTGTAGAAGAAGGAATTCACCATTGCAATGCTAGCAATTTCGGACTCCAAGTATAGCTCATCTTCCCTTATAACATTGTTGTTTTAGTTAATAAAGCTGAAGCATCTCAAGTGGAGATTGCCTTCCACCACTCTCTCCATAGTTTATATCGATGCTTGTTTCTGAAACATAGGGTTGCGTATTTACAAAGGACATCAACAAAGCAGTGTTGATCAGTGATGCAATGGAAACCGGGACAGTTCAGATCAACTCGGCACCAGCTCGTGGGCCAGATCATTTCCCTTTCCAGGTGAACAAGAAATTTCTGAAAATGCTAACAAACTTATTACTTAATTACTTTATAGCTTCAGGCCCAGGACATTAGCTTGAGGAATAACAAATGCGTTGTTGACAGGGTTTGAAGGATATCCAGGTGAACAAGAAATTTCTGAAAATGATAACAAACTTATTACTTAATTACTTTATATTTTGCTTCAGGCCCGGGACATTAGCTTGAGGAATAACAAATGCGTTGTTGACAGGGTTTGAAGGATAGTGGTATTGGATCACAAGGCATCACCAACAGCATTGACATGATGACCAAAGTCAAGACCACTGTTATCAACTTACCAAGCCCTTCTTACTCCATGGGTTAGTATCATCTATTAGGGAACCAATAATCACAACTAGATTGTGTGCTGCTAGATTGCTAGTCGTTGTTCTGCTGCAGTAAATCTGGGCTCTAGTGCGCTCCTATTTTCCGATTTGGTTGAAAATGTTTGAACATTACTCGATAAAAAGAAGAATAAGAATTGTATCTGTTGCTATCATATATATTTGAAGCATTCGTAGTGTAAGCAATTGCATATGAACTAGCTTGCATTAGCTCGTTAATTTCTGAACTCATTGTTATGCAAGTGATCAGAGTAAAGATACTCTGTTGTAACCTAAATACTTGTTGCTAAGCTGAAATCTTTCGACGAAACAAGCGTATTAAGTTGGCCTTGACAAGCTGATTGGAATTTGACAAGGAAGAATGTTTCTTGTTGGGAAGCCCTTTAACCACCTGGTTTATGAAATGAAGATGCTTGTGTTGATCATTTCTGTTCTCCAGTTGGTCTTCTTCTTGTTTTGCCGTAGAATTTAGTCATAATTTTCTTTCTTCAGGCTCTTCAGGATCCTCCATTAGAAGTAGAATTTGAAGAGTAGCCAAGAGGGTCAAAGGAACTGCTGCTGTTAGGCATTTTTAATAAATCACATGGTGCAGGTAAAGCAAGTCGTTGTCCTGTAACGAAAAAGAAGAAGAAAAAAGAGTCATTTCCCAGCTTCATCATGTAACTCAAAACTGTTCGTTCATTAAATCATTTGAAAATAAAGAGAACCAATGCGAACGGGAAGTTGAATCCCAGAGAACTAATATTTGCTGATGAGAATAGATCAGTGGATTCTTAGAGCATCTACAATGGGAGATGCTTTTTAGAAGAGTTACATTGATAATATGGTTTATAGATATAGTTTTTTTTTGTTGATGTGCATTTGATTAAGCTTTTCAATATCCAAATCTAATCCAACTAAGAACTCACCTTGTATCAATCATTTAGGTGGTGGTCAAGTGGTAAAGACTTGAGATTAAGGAGTTTGTTCCCTCTATGGTCTCAGGTTCGAGTCCTTGGTTGCTCATATGATGGTCACTGGAGGCTTACATGGTCGTTAACTTCAGGACCCGTGGGATTAGTCGTGGTACATGATTAGTCGTGGTGCGCGCAAGATTAAGCTTTTCAATATCCAAATCTAATTCAACTAAGAACTCACCTTGTATCATATTTTAATTACCTTATTATTCTAACTCCACCTTAATTACCTTCTTACCAAATTCACTGTGACGAAATTTCATGTATGGTTCTCTTCCACTAAGAATTTCTGCAATCCCTTGGAATTCTAAGTCAAGACGAGGCACCTTATCAATTACCATAAACGGTCCTGCAAGCAATGAGCTGAGGAAAATGATTTTCAATTTGAGAAGGCTAAAGGAATTATGGGCTTCAAATGATTGTGTAACGCCAATACATTCCTTCTTTGATCTTAAAAGAAGCCTCATTTGGCTTGTCCCTAGCAGAAAATCCTGAATTTTTGCCCTCATGGTTATCGTGTTTTTAAATTTTTTTAGATCATTTTAATTTATTAATATCAAAAATAATTTTTATAAAATAAAATAATTTTATTTTAATATATTTTTAAATAAAAAATACTTTAAACCATCACTACTATTATAATTAAAACATGCCCATCACCTGAAAAGAGATCTTTGGTTTCAATTTCTACAGTTGCTAGTTTATAACTATGTCCATCTCCTCGTCTTTCTTCTCTTCTTGAAGAACTAAAAGAACAAAATCAACATGAAAGAACTTCAGCATTTTTGCCCCATCTTACTTGGAGTAGTAGAAAGAGTCAAAGACCATAGTTTAGTGAAGCAGAGGAGAATTTTATTTTATTTTCTTGGGTTTTGGGGAAACATGGCAGCTGCCAATACCATATGCTTCTTTCGCCTCCATCTACTTCATCACAACTTCTGTTTTTGCTTGATGTAATTTTTCTTTACCTTTTTTTTGTTAGTTCTTGTTTGTGTGCTTCATTTCTTGAAAGTTAAGTAATGGGGTAATTTTTCTTTACCTTTTTTTTTGTTAGTTCTTGTTTGTGTGCTTCATTTCTTGAAAGTTAAGTAATGGGGTAATTTAAGGAAAATTGGATGGATGTTCATTATAGAATATATTCTACGCTTTTTTAGGATTTGTTTATTCAATTTGAAAGGGTTTTGCCTTGAAACTTCAGTCACTCTTTTGGTTCTCAACACTGTATGAAAGGTTATCTCATAAACCTTTTTTTACACTAAAACCGCATATAATAAAAAAAGGGTTTTACCTTAATGCATTGCATAGTGACCGTTAGATATTTGTATATTTTTTTGAATTGATAAAAAAATAAAATTAATTTAATTTGTGCATTTGTACATGTTCTATTCTTTTTACTTACTTGTTCTACTTGTTTATGTAAAAGAAGAGAGTATGAGAAAATTTCTTGACGAGAAAACACACTTAGTTTTTATAAGAATTTGTTTTTGTTAAAATAATTTTTTTATATATTTTGAATCACTGATTTTAAAAATAATTTTTTAAAAAATAAAAAAATATATATTATTTTAATATATTTCAATACTAAAAACACTTCAAAATACAATAACAACTAATTTTTAAACAGACTTGGACAAACATAAATAAATAGATAAAATTAGGTTAAGTATGCAACGAGTTGGCAAAATTATGACAATAAAAATTAAAGTTAGATCCTTGCATTTAACACAATTCCAAAACATTTTCTCGCAAAATGCCTTGTATAAACTAAAAGGGGTCTTGATTCGAAGTTTCATTCTCAATCTACGTTGGGTTGGCGACATGGCTGTCCTTCTTGCATCTAGTCATGTTTTAGATTATACTAACTTTAGTTTGATGGATTTAAATGTTATTTTTTTATCAGTATTAATTAAAATGAGGTTTCTAAAATAAATCCGGTTGAAGCTTGCATAAACATAACTATGCATATTAATTACATGAATCAAAGATAATATATGGATTGCAACTGTTTTTTGAATGGGTCGTAAACAGTTCATCTTTCTTCACGTTGAGGATTAACGTACACTTCTTGATGGTTCAAAAAAAATAAAATTAAAGGATTATTGAATTCAATCTCTGATTTACTAATATCTAGAAGATTACTTGCGATTAATTTTAAAAATATTTTTTATTTTAAAATATATTAAAATAATATTTTTTATATTTTTTTATATTATTTTTAATATTAACACATCAAAATAATAAAAAAATTAAAAAAATATTAATTTTAAAAAATAATTATTTTTTTTTATTTTTTTTTAAAAACACAATATCAAACACACCTCAAGATAATTAATACCACTCATGCTACCGAGGCCCATCTGTGCTCATATAAACTCACTTAAACTCACTTAGGCAAGCTCTTATCGGATTAAGTTATATAACTATGTAACCATCTAGGTGATGACGAAGTGATAAAAATTTGGGATTAAAGAGTTTGTTTCCTCTGTGGTCTCAGGTTCGAGTCCTTAGTTGCTCATATGATGGCCACTGGAGGCTTACATGGTCGTTAACTTCAGGGCCAATAAGATTAGTCGTGGTACGCGTAAACTAACCCGGACACCCACGTTAATCTAAAAAAAAAAATTATATAACTATGTTTAAAACAATAATATAAAATTGTTTTTAATAACTCATATAGCAGAATACCCCTAACTTTCAATCCAAGGTCCGGAATGTCATGTTTTGCTTTTTTAATTATTATTTTTTAATTTTAGATTTTTTTTATTATGTAAGTTTTTATGTATTATTCATTTAATTATTATATTGAATTACGATTTTTCAAAATTTTCTTTACTTATTTTTATAATTAAATATTAAACATATAAGCGTGCTTAGAAACGTGTTTTTAACTGGTTTTTAAAAATTATTTTTGATATTAATATATTAAAATATTAATAAAATATTAATTTAAAATAAAAAAAATATTTTTAATTTTTTTTTAAATGCATTTAAAAGACAAAAACAATCACTTCATTTCTAATCCGAGATATACAATCATCGTACAACTCCTGTATGAAATTCAAGGAATCTCTGTACTTTTTCTTCGGTCTTGATTAAAACCTTCTCCGCTGAAAATGAATAAGAGAGCTCTTTACTTGGAAACCTGAGAATTGTTTTTAGCCTTGAATAGACATCAGTGATTCTGATTGTTGCCCTGTCAACTGCTAAAAGGGTTAGTTTTGAGAGACTGGAAAAAAAATATGGAAAGAGAGGATAAAGAGCTGGAAGATGAAATCAAGGTAGCTGGAAATGCACTTCTTTCACCTCCATCTTCTGTTTCACAGCTCCTTCTTTTGCTTGAGGTACTTCTTTATCATCTCACACGCTTTCCATTTAATTCATCTTGAACAAGCTCAAGCTGCAAATTTTTTTCTTGTGAATTGAATGGTTTAGGTTTAGGACTTAGGTTTGACTAAATTAAATCACTTTGATTGGCACCTTCTGAAAGCTTTAGAGTGCTTGAAATGCTTCCGATTCTGGTCGATTTTGTGCTGCCCTTCTTTTAAATTTACCTGGGTTTTTTGGGTGCTGTAGGTTGATGTTGCATGCTCTTTTGCTTCTGGGTTTTAATGTTCAACTTGAAGTAAAAGAAATTTGTTGAAATGGAATTGGTTGAAGTTCGTCTCGTGTGGTTATTCAATATCCCATTTGAATGAAATCTAGTTAGAATTCTTTTTGGGCTTCTATCGGTCATTTGACTGTCAATGATTTTTCTTAACGTGAGGATCCTTTTGAACTTCTTGATTATCTAATTTGGACATGCAATGGCAGTCAATACTTCAAGTTAAATGTCACAACCTCTGAGATGAAGATGTTGATTGAAGTGTTATAATGTATTATACTCTATTTTCTGTTTGTTAAGCTCAATTTTTCTTGTCTCTCTCTGTTTAAATGCAGATGCAAATGCATTGTCTCATTCCTTTCCTTTTCTTTCTTTGTTTTCTTTCCTTAGAAACTTGAGAATTGTCTAATGAGAATGGATCAATCTCCTTCCAACTCAATGCAAAGGGCAGCGGACCTTGCAATGAAAGCACTAATGAACAAAGAACTTCTGAGTCATTCGGATGTTGATGTGAAAGTTTCTGTTGCTTTGTGCTTCAGTCAGATTTTGAGAATAACAGCACCAATTTTTTCTTATGATGATGAACAAATGCAGGTACCTACCCCTTTAAGTGTCTCATATGTTCTTATTTACGGAGGAGCTAAGAATTTTAGTTGGCACATGATTGTACTTGCATAGTCTTGTGCATATGCCAAGATACTTTAACCTGCCCGTGTTTTAAATTTCATATTCACGCGTGTGTATTTTGGTTTACTCATAAATGTTCTCTCTAACATGGGATTGCTTCACAGGTAATTTTACAGCTGATTGTAGCATCATTTGAAAATATATCTGACACCTCAAGCCCTTCATACCATAAAAGAGTTTTGATTCTAGAAAAGTTTGCAAATGTCAGATCATGCCTTTTGATGGTGGATCGTAAATGTTATTCCTTGATTATGGAGATGTTTAAGCATTTTTTGACAAATATAAGGTGAGATATTGACTGAGTGTAATTGTTTTTTCTTTTACAATCAACTTCTCTCAGCTAATTCTCAAGTAAATTAGTTTTTGTTAGTGTTTCAACTTTTGTTCAGGTGTTCTTCCACCTTCTTTTATATAGTCACATGTAGTTGGTTTTAAATGATGAGGACTTTGATGTTTAACAGACTAAGTGATTCCCCCATGATGCGCATTTTGTTGGCAAGGATTAATATTCCAATGCATCTTTTGTTTTCTTCACACTCTTTTTGTCTTATTTCATGCTCCATTTTTATTTTTATTTTTGAGAGGGGGAAGGTGTTCAAAACTGAAAGTTCCCATTAGTTTCACAAAGGTTGGTCATTTGTCACGCACAGCAGTATCCTTAACTATAAACCTCTTGTTTTGTCATTCAGCTGTATTACGTTTTCTAGAGCCAAAAAAGGGCAGATATGCAGATTTTTAAAAGTATCATTGTGTTTTGCCCCCTTCTATGGACAATAATGTAACAGTTGCTTATGCTTGATTTTCTTTAAGTATGATGGTACAGCTATAAACCCGAGCGTATTCATGGAAAAGATTGCAACTCGCAAGTGTATGTTGCATTTCTTTTTAATAGAATGGATTATAATTGTTGAACTGAATGTGCACAATTTTCAGGGAACACCATCCTGACATTGTATTTTCATCTATGGGATTAATTATGATAATAATCTTAGATGAAATTAAAGAGATCCCATTGGAGATTGTCAACCTCTTTTTGGACTTTATAAGAAATAGAAACCAGGTGAATGTATAACCAACCATTTTCCCTTCGAACTCTTCTAGATTCTTTGTTATCTAAATGATCAGATTTTTTCTTTTTTCCTTTTCTTTTTCTCCAGGATGTTTTGCCTATTGCACAAAAGCTAGGAGAGAGAATATTTGAAAACTGTGGATCAAAGCTTGCTCCCTACGTGCCTCAGGCAAATTATTGTGGCCAGAAGCGTAGTAGGGACAAGCTGCAGGATTCAAGAAGTCATACTGAGGTTGCTGTATGTCTCGTTGTACATTAAAATGGGATTTCTTTATTCAGTTGGATTCACCATATGTTCACCTTGCAGCTAGTTGTGAAGAAGGAAAATGATGGAAAAGAAGGCTGTGGATATCAGGGTTTTGAAGAGGAGAATAGAGAGGAAGACAAAAACACCAAGGAGAAGGATTTTAAAGAGAAAATACTTCAAGAGGAAGATGAAAATTTCCAAAGGGAGGTTATGAAACAGAAGAGAAGCAGAAAACTGGTCAAACCAAACAACAAGGTTAGTGTTCCACAATTTTTTCCTATCCTCTTGCGTACCTTGATTTTGGAACACAACCATTTTGTAGTTGTGGGAAAAGTATTTCTGGTTGCATGATTTTTCTGTTAAATTACTTGGTAAGTATCAAGCAAGGAATTTGTGTTGCAAAGTTCAGTTGGATTTACAATGCATTTACCTCACAGCCTGTTGTAAAGGAGAAAAATGATGGAGAAGAAGGCAGCAAAAAGCAGGTTTTTGGAGAGGAGAATAGTGGGGAAGGTAGAAAGGAGAAAATTGATAGAGGAGAGGGCTGTAAAGAACAGGGTTTTCAAGAGGAATACCACAATAAGGAAGGCAAGAAGATCAGAAGGAAGGCTTTCAACAAGAAGAAACGTCAAAAGGAAGGTATAGTTTTCCAAGGGGAGGAGACTGTGAAAGAGAAGGGAACCAGAGAAAGAGTAAGAGAAGACCAAATAGTTAGTATTCCAATTGACGTTGCCATCTTGTCCTCATGTTTAACTTTGATTTTGTAATGTGATTTCTTAGTTACTGGAAAAGTTTCTCTTGCTTCAAGATTCACAGGGATAGTTGTTTTTTGCTGATTTTCTTGGCTGATAAAGCTCTGTTCTTTCCTTTTTCTGTTTTTTGTTAACAGAGACGAAAACTTAAATACGAGGGAAAACAAGCCATGGACACTAAATGCAGTGCACGGAAAATGCATGAGTTTCTTTCAAACTTAAAAGGGAAGAAGAGAAGCATAATTGAAAATTCAATCTTCTCTGCTTACCTTGATATTCCTAGATGCCCCATTAATCGCAATCTGGCAGCTGCTCTTATTGAATGCTATGATGCTAAAATGGATGCATTTATTGTAGCAGGCCGTCCACTCAAGTTCTGTGGCAAAGAAATTGAGAAATGCATCGGCCTCCGCTTTGAAGGGAAAAGGGTGGACATGAAATTTTTGGGAGCGCAGATTTCTCCACAAATTGTGCAGAGGTACTTTGAAATAGTGAGTGGAAATGAAAGAACCAAAAAGAAGTCAACAGGTGCCAGTAAGGAAATGAAAGATGGAGAAATGAGAAGTTCCATGAAAAAATCTAGCTGTTTGCTTCTGCAAAAGCTAAACCTGATGAGGGTTGATGGAAAAGATGAAGCTGAGGACTTCCTTCGCCTATCCATTGTATACATGTTCAATGTCTATTTCTTTCCAACCCATTCTAAATATATATCTTGGTGGCCACTCAAGTTCCTAGAAAATCTAAATGATTTCGACTCGTATGCCTGGGGACGGGCAGTATATGACTATTTACTCACATCTCTGGAAAAAGCAGCACGCAAGCTGGCTGGCCAGGACAAATTTTATGCGATCTTGAATGGATGTGTTCCATTGTTGCAGGTAAATGGCTTTATTGATTAAAATTCCTGCTTACTGATATTTTTATTTACATTTCACATTTTTCTTTTTTAATTTCTTTTAGACACTAGCATCGGACCGAATTAGCAAGTTGCAAGTCCTAGATCTTTCGACAAATCCAAATCCCTCTGTGCTCTATTATAATATGGATGGTAGGTCATTCGATGCATTTCAAAAGGTGTTGGCCAATCTGCAACCTGATGAGGTAATATGGCATCAAAACCAATAATGATTTGTCAAACAAACCTGTTATAATATGCAACAATAAGACAATTACATATATGATTGCGAGTCCTAGCACATCTAACAAATCTAAATCCCTCAGCTCAATTATATGTTGAATAGTTAATTGTTGAATTCTCTTTTCAACTTATCAATTACTAGAAAATCGCAGTTTTGATTGTTTCTTTCTTGTTAATATATATAGATCAAGGAATGCAAAGAATGTGAAGTTGTAGTAAAAAGTAGCAAGGCCAAGGTGAAGAGCACGGAAGGGCAGAAAATGTCACGAGGAAGAAAAGTAAGATGAGTTAGAAATGATGATACAGCTCCTGTAGTTCATGATGATATCAAAATGCAATATTTTGATGGAACTTTTTATCACTAGAGATAGATAACATGTCTTGTTTATTATTAATATTAATAAATTTTTTAACGATAGTGCTTTTTTATACTTTGTTATGTGCGTTAAATTAAATGAGATGTATCTGCTGTGCTATCACCAGATTGCAGTTCGTGTTTCATCTTCTCCAGTGCACCAAAAAAAAATAAAAAATTTGATTGGATAAATTCTGATTTGGCATGAACATTTTTCCGTTGTTGTGTAACTAAGCATTTATGGTTTGTATTTGTAACTTCACTGTCACTGACATTCTCTTCTTGCTCCAACTATAAAAGGCTAACATTCTATTCATTAATGGTAGATGTGTACTTATTCATTTTTAAGTAGGAAAGGTAAACTACGTCGGTATAGCCCCAACTTTTGACCTGAAAAAAAAAAAAAAAAAGGGTTGAGATCAGTTCTGAATGGGCGTCATAGATGATTATGCTAGTCTTTTCGTCGGTGAACTTTTGTGGAAGTTTGAGCTAAACTCCTGATTAAATCCAATTATAAAAGAATTAAGCTTTACTATGGCCATGAACCTGGTGATATCAAATGGCATGATTATGTTATACGATCTTTTGTTATGCGCGTTTTGAGTTAATAATTCCATCAGCTTCTTGCTTCCACGTGATTCCCCTTTTGAGACATTCAGTTGATTGCCACACTACTTCATTTGCTACTTGCTTTTCTCCAAAAACTTACCTTGGAACAGTTCTGATTTTTCCTCCTTCCCATAATGATGCATGTTTTAGCAGCTTATATAGTTGAACAAACACTTGTAGAACCTCCATTAATGTAAGTGCTGAGGATTTCCTAGGTTATAGCCATAGAATAAAATGTTCAAAGCAAACTTGTAGTGGCTTTTACTTTTTTGACCATCTCTTCCACTGATAATTTCTGAAAAATGTGATCATGCAAGGAGAAGGAGACGGGGGCGAAAAAGAAAAGGTAGCAAAGCTAAACAAGGTTTTCCAAGTTCTCCTTTAGTCCCAATAGAGTTTGTTAAGCAATGATGTGAAAAATGGCGAAGCCCCACAGCCTATAAACGCCCTTTCGGAAAATCAATTTAAGGGAGAAAGTGTTTAGAAAGGCAAAAGATCAAGCAACGAGGTTAATTCTGAAAGCAAAGGTGATGAGAACTTAGTCCTCAGAGATGCAGTGTTGAATGTAACTGGTATAATTATTATAAAAAAATATAAATTATATTTTGAAGTTCTTATAACTTACGATTAAGATATTTTATTTATATGGTATAAGAGTTTTAATGATCAAGTAATCATGAATTTAAATCTTATTTTTTTTATTTATTTAATAAAAATTAAGTATAAAATAATGTAAATTTATATAAGTTTTAAACTTAAAATATTTTTATTTAAAAGGATATATTAGAAAATAATATAAATTATATTTTGTAATTTTATTTAACCATTTAAATTATTAGATTGAGATAGTTTTTTAATAATGAGTTAGGAGGCAATCTACTTGAGATAATTTGTGGAGTTAGTTACGAAGATTAGCATGGAGGATAACTCATCAGTAAAACAGTGGCTTCGCAAAGAAAGGTGGCGGTGCAAGGGTGGAGCTAATGTTCCGAGGAGCTAAGCCTCGGTGGTATGCTACTTAAGTTCTCATTTTGTTTTCATTGCTCTTTTGAAACTTTGGTGATCACACTGAGATGTGAGAGTGGATGGTAGCATGTGGAACATGAGCCAATAGGAGAAACTATTCTCACTTTAACTATGATTGTTTGAGAAGTTTTAACTTTTAAAAATATGCTCATAGTTATTTTTTTAAATACTTTTTTATTTTAAAATATTTTAAAATAAATTTTTAAAAATATATATTTTTTGTATCAGCATATTAAAATAATTCAAGGTGGAGCTAATGTTCCGAGGAGCTAAGCTCGGTGGTATGCTAATTAAGTTCTTATTTTGTTTTCATTGCTAAACTTTGGTGATCACACTTAGATGTGAGAGTGGATGGTAGCATGTTGAACATAAGCCAATAGGAGAAACTATTCTCACTTTAACTATGATTGTTTGAGAAGTTTTAACTTTTAAAAATATGCTCATAGTTATTTTTTTAAATACTTTTTTATTTTAAAATATTTTAAAATAAATTTTTAAAAATATATATTTTTTGTATCAGCATATTAAAATAATTCAATTATTTTTTAAAGTATTTTTTACTCAAAAATATATTAAAATAATATTTTTTAAAAAATTATTTTTAATATTATCATGTTAAAACAATTAAAAAGTATAAAAAAAATATTTTTTTATAAATATTTGTTTGGATCGTGTTTTTAAATAGAAGTTAAGTTCTTAGATTAATATAAATTGTATGTAACTAAATATTCAAATAATTAAAATTAATAAACAATATATAAAAATACATTCATGCGTGATAAACACTCGATCGGATTTTAAATATCCTTTAGCAATGATTTGCTAGTTTGAAATGTATGATATATAAGCAAAGGTGGTAGTTGGAAGTCCAAATTTCCGAGAATATGAGAAAAATTCTACGACAATCTCTTGAAAATTGCAAGACAAGAACGAATTCTTTAGGGTTTATGGGAAAGCGTTTAAAATTGTGTTTTTTTTTAATTTAAATTTTTTTTATATATATATATATATATATATATATTTAGATTGTTTTTGTATACTAATATTTAAAATAATTTTTCTAAAATAAAAAATATTATTTAAATATATTTTTAAATAAAAAAACCTTAAAAAACACCAACTACTCCATCACTCTTTTTTAGTTCACACATCTAGTCAGAGCCCAATATCATTAATCCAAGCCAGCCAACAACTCTACTTGATATGTTCAAATTCGTCTAAACCAAAACCCTTTTCTTCTGTTCTCCTTTGTAAAAAGTTGTTGCTGTATTATCACTCCATAGACAAATTGTAAGAGTTCAGAATGGTGACTAATTGCTTTTTGTAATAAAAGTTATCAAAACCTTGTCCGATCCCAACTTGTTTTCTTAATTGCTAAACCTCCTAACACGTTGTGTAACTCCGTCACTGTCTTGGTTGAAAGTTGCCCAGAAGCTCATAGTTTATATTAGGTCAAATTTGTGGAGCCCAAGGCAAAGTTCGTCGATGATTTTATTATTATTACCGGTCCAATTGAATCCCAATTTCCTTTCCTTAAAGGCCTTCTTGAAGTCGGCCTCATGTGTCGGCTTTCTATATGATCCACAACTTCAAAAGCTATTTAATTTAAAAGAATTCACCTCAAACCAGGATAAGAACAAAAGTAGTATAATATCATAAGAACTATGCCAATTCTTTTCTAGAGAGAAGATGAGTTAATATTTTAAAATATCATTTGCAATTATTAAGACAGCTTCTAACATTTATATATCCTTGACTTTATCAATGAATAAAGTCTTTTGTACAAGTTATTTTACTATATTATATAATCTATTATGTTTGCTTGTTTCTGAACCGTTGATGATATTCCCATCTTTTTCTTTTTCTTTTGTAGTTTTTTATTCTTTCTTATAGTAATATAAATATAAGATTTGGAAATGATTATATGGAATATGATATAAGATTGGGATGATCTTTTGCCTCGTAACAACCATTAAGTGGGGCTTTAATTAATTATAACTTTACAAGGTTGTGTCTTTTATGGAATAAGCTGCTCGTCCGATCTTATGAGGTCTTGTTAAAATTCTTCCCTTTCTTTCTAATCACTACATTGCTTATTTTAATGGTAAACAAAATGTCTTATTAATTGACAGAAAATTAAGAGTGTGTTTTACTCTCTTATTTTTCAAATTTAAATGGAATATTATCTAGGATTTTGAATTACGTACACAATTAAAAATAATCCTCGAGAGAATTTCTCGATGCCTGATTGCCACTCAAACCTAGAATAATGGCTCCATGAATGTCTGGTATTTCTGACTTTTGTAATGGAAAGAAATTAATCGGGTACCCTGATCTCCAAAATGGGGTAATGATTGCGTGCAGGCAGCTTCATTAACAAAATAGAAACATGAGGTGCCATAAATTCTCTTTCAAGAAATACTTTTCAGGGAGAAGAAATGCCAAACAAACACATGAGACATCAACAAATGAAATGTAAGGATGTAACTTTTGTTTATCTTTGTGATCAATAGCTAGGAAAGCTGGCAGACATCCGGTCATTTCAGAGAATTTTGTCGTTGATAATGTAAGATCAATAGCCTGCAAGGGTTGGTCTTTACAGATACAAGCTAACATGGGGCACGAAAAAGAGGTCTGACTTAGCAAGCATATATGTTTGCTTAGAGATGAAATTAGATACCAATTCTGATTCTACCTTTGCTGAATTTGGAATTCGCATAAAATATTGCTTTTCTATGTGATTGATTGACTAGAATGGAATTGGAATTTAAGATTTCAGTCTTTGATAAAGAAGCTTATAATGCAAATGTTGTTTGTTTTTAAATTTTCTGTTGATCATTTGATCAGTCGCGATTAATACAGCACCAGATTTAATCTCAACCTCCATGAAAACAGATTTTGGTTAAAATAACAATGTTGAAATCATAATTAATTGGTGATTCAAGCAATGACGTCTAATAATTAATTAGTTTCTTTATGATATTAATCAAAAAAGGTGACGGAAGTCTTTTGCCTAGGTCTAATCTCCTGTGTCAAAGTTGGTCGAGAAGATTTTGACAGCACAATAGCCTGGGAGATCCCTAGTGATTTACAACTAGTATTGCTTTGAATGATTAAAGCTGGATTCTGTGTCAATTTAAGTGGCCTATAACATTTCTAGCTCATTTTTTGTGGATAACTACGCCTGTTTTTCTCTAAATAAGAGACTTTACATGTAGACTATGATGTCAATCTCAGTATATCTAAAGTATCTAGGCATATGAGCTTGCTAGGGATAGGATATATATCACAAAAGCAGAGGAGAAAAGCTTACCTATAAATTACAACCCCTCTAAATATACAAACAAGATAATCATGTTTACGCCTTGATTAATGGATTGTCAAGGCATGCATGGATGTAGTGTCATGGGTGTGTTGAGGTGTAAAGAGAGCCTAGCTATGATCATCTGAAGAAAACTAGATATATAGAGAGGTATAAGATTGAGATTGGCGCAAGACAAAGACAGACAGACATACATACATACATACATACATACATACTGATAGTCTCTTGCCCTTGCCAAGGTGCCTTCGCTAAAGCTTTTTCTAGCTAGCTAGCCAGGACAAACACCTTTTCCACTTCATTTTGAAGTTAGTTTTGTATTCAATCCCATCAAATCATTTCACTCTCTCGTGGAAAAGAATACGATGTGTAGCCCATCTTAATCACATTAATTTCAAGATGTGGACTCTAATCATGCCTTGACAGAAATAATGCGAGCTCATCCTGCTTAACAACCTAGTTAATCCTCAACATCTTGTTCTCTTTATAGTGCACACAATTGCTGATACAAGAAAGCAAATCACTGCGTAGTGTCAAAGGTGATAGCTAGGGAAGTTGATTGGCAGTAGTGGGAATTTTCATGGTGAGGAAAAAATGCACTTCTGTAACTTCGTCAAAAGCCAGTAGTGACTTTGAACAGGGAAACAAAAAAAAAGAGTTGAAATTCTAGGAGTACAATAAATCTTTCATTGACTTTAACTAGGTCGAACACAAAGAAAGAGGTTACTCGATGCCGTGTGAATTAGGTGATATGGCCTGTGTAGAGTACCATCCACCATTATATTTCTACAGTTAGCTCTTTCTCCGATAGTAGAATTGCATACATATTCGCTATTAAACTTTTTTTACTTTAATCTGCTAGCTCCTTCCAAGAAAATAAATACCACAAAAAAAATCTTAATTGTCACCTCGTGAAGAATTTATACATGACATTTTTATTTACTGTTTATCTATTTCTTATGAGAGTGATGATTCAAGAAGATAAACTTTTTTACTTTAATATGCTCTTTTCGAAAAAATAATTGTACAGCAAAATCCTATCAACTTGTAAAGATTTTTTCAGTTTTTTTTTTTTGTAGAAAAGTTATATATGTACCAAACTAAAAAACAATGTTGTGGGAAATACATGCATTCACTAATATTATTGTTTTTTTAAATCAAGTGCTTTTCATTTTCAGGAAAAAATATATTAAAATTAGTAAATATTCATATAGCGGTCTACTGCTGGG